AAAAAAAAAAAAAAAAAAAAAAAAAAAAAAAAAAGAGGGGTGGAATTGTTACTAAAAAAGGCGTAACTTTCTCCTTCCACTTAACAACGCGATGAGAGAAGTACCTATACTCTCGTGGGACGTTATCTGTCGAATGACGAGACGCTTTTCTTGGGATTCCCTTTCCCTTGATGTTGCGTTTACTCAAAACGAAGAAAAAAAAAAAAAAAAAAAAAAAAAGAACAAATTAGCAAGTGCGCACATATGTACCATCGTACACTTTTACGCGAAATGTTCCTCTATACACCCCAATACCTGTGCGAAATTTTACGAAAAAGGAGAGAAAACCATCACACTTTTATTTATTTAATTATTTTTTTTTTTCTGCATCGCCTTACGTTATATACCTCCCGTGATGTACGTCAAAATGGCAAAGTAATGGTGTGGTCCTCCCCACCCCACCGCCGAACAACAAAATGGCACAAAGCGCGCCCAGTCACTGTGTAGGCAGCCACACGAGGAAATGAAGCGTCTCCGCATGGCGCAACAGTGAGCAGGAGTTTCCTTTAAAAAAAAAATAAATAAATAAAAATATTGTTGTTTAAAAAAAATAAATAAAAATAAGTTTTCCTTAATAAAAAAATGATAAATGTATGAACCGTTGCAGGGAACCATATGAGCATCGTACCCACGGACCGAGTCACAAACGGAAGAAAACGATCTGCCTCCACTACGTCGTCTTTATTGTGGAGCAGGACAACATTATGCATTCTCGCTGCTTCTATATGTGTGTGTTCTCCCTCACAGGGGTGAGGCGGCAACCCCCTGCTTCTCTGTGATGTGGTGTGAAGGATCGTTCGAAAAGGAAATCCACGATGAGTATTTACATTTCGTGGAGAGGGGGAAAGAGACCAAACACACGTTGTTGCCACACCGGAATTATAGCAGCCACTTGGTTTAACCCCCATTCACACATAAGCAGGTGATCAATTGGAATGGTCCACTAGGTGGGGGAAACAGAAAATGAGCATATGGTCCAAAACGGACAAAGCGGTCAAGGTGTAACATGTCCATAACTCGCGCATCCTCCCGTTGTGCACGTTAATTAACCACAATGGGAAAAAAAAAACAAAAAATTTTGCACACATGTACATACACTCATATGAAGGCACATCGCACAGTTCAGGTTCCCCCATTCAAAGGTCGACTCTATAAAAAAGCAAACAAACAAACGTCCCAGCATTATTTACCCATTTTAATTAAAAACTGTTTTAAGTCTCCTGCGTCGAATGAGCAGTCCCACTTTTTCTCATGTCTAATTATTCCCCACGTACAGCTTGAAGTTGTGCATTGACCTGCCTCCTCCTCCTCCTCCTCCTCCTCCTCCTCCTCCCCCTGTGTTAATTCGTTCTTGTGCAGCGTTGCTAAACGTTGCAACCCCCGCAAAAAAGCGCTGAGCAGGAAGTAGCATATCTGTGTCGACCTTTGTCCCTTTTTTTTTTTTTTTTTGTCTCTCTCCCCCCCTCAACTGTCCACGTCACATCGATTGTCTTCCCCACGTTAAGGCGTTACCCCTAGTCGCACCTTTTTTGTTTTTTCCACCCCTCGGTCACATTTCTGTTTGGAGTGCTATATCTAAACTAACACATGCACACGTGCATGTCGCTGAACAGACGCATCAATCTGCTGATCCCGATCAGGGTCCTAGCCGCTTGCCCACCTCAACAGCGCCAACCATGGCCAGAATCAACGTCTCAGAGAACGAAATTATTAGCAAAATGAAAGCGATAAATCTGAAGGAAGCGAAGAGCCCCCCTTCCCTCAGCGTGAAGAACTACACAAAATCTATCGCGCACAAGTTGAAAAAAAACAGAGAGGGAATTATTTCCTGCAAGGAGCAGATTCGAAACCTGGAAGTTCTAACCAGGCGGATGCACAGAGAACTGTCCGATGGAAACAAGGAATTAAAAAAATTAAAAAAAAATATTGAAAAGTCTGACGTGCTAAATGCTCAACTGGAGCTGAACATCATGACCCAAATGAAGAGGAACAATGCACACAACAGTATGATCTCCCTTTTAAAAAAAAAAAAAATAGGTATTAACAAAACAAAGGGCATTATCGACAGTGATATTAATTACATGGAAACGAGAATAACCATGATGAAAAACAATGTAGAAGAAAGTGAGAAGAAATATTACAAGTTGGTTGGTGCTAAGGACAAACTGCACAACGAAATGCTCAAGTTTAAAAAGGACCGAAGGGATTTGCAGAACCATTTAAATCACACCAAGAGGAATCATAATCTTTTGAAAAACCAGATGCAGAATTTTATCGTGAATATGGGCCCATAAAAAGGCAGGGTGCGCACATTTGGGGTTGCGTCCTCCAGGCGTCACGCTGGCCATGATACACAACATGATTTGTACACACGATGAGCAGATACCCGCTTTGCAACGTTTATCCGTGTTGTCTTCCTACCTCCGACGGGAATTCGTTCGTGTTGAACGTAACATACGCACACACACCTATAGGGGGGTGCACCATTTCCACCCTAAATAAACATCCCCGAGCGTACCCCCCGTGGGCGCTTAAACGGGGAAGTAAATGTTTTGCAACTTCTGGGGGGTCTTTCCCACGCGTCATTTTTTAAGCGCGTCCTTCACAATACTACTTACACCGCTGTGCGCACACTACGCCCCGTCGAGGCGGCTCACCCCCACTGGGCGAACTTGTCTATGTAGCTGAAGAGATAGGAGTCCGAGACGTAGGGCTTCAAAATATAACTGGCGGAGTTATTCCTGTTGGAGGTGTAATGCATGTAAATCTTCGTAACGATATCGTAATTAATATTAATGTGATACTTGGCCAGCAACTTAATTATGTTGCTGATGATGCTGATGTTCCTCCTGGTGGTATCATCCACCTCCTCGAATTTGTTGTCCTCGATATCCTCATCCACACTGTTAGGGTTCGTCTCTTTCGACTTCTTAATAGGAGAAGAAACCCAAATGAACCCATTCATGCCAAGTATTATTTGTACATTACAAGGAAAAACAAAAATATGCTTCTTCTGGTTTTGTATTAACGTTTGCGGGACTGTGATTAGGATCCCATTGGAGAGTTTCCCATATATGGAGGATCTGGTGTGTAAGATTATACACCCATCAGGGAGGATTCTCTGCACCTCGCATGCTATTATGTCGTTCGGCTTATATATATTAATCATATTAATCACATCATTGTAAAGTCTTATTCGTTGGCAGAAGAGGCTGATGTTTGTTTGTGATATGGACAACAGTGCTTTGCAGTAGGAGCCAATCTCAACAACCCATTTGTCGTTACTTATGTCTTTTATTTTTCCAACCAGGAGATCTCCTACTGCACCTGTGTATTTCCCTCTTAACGGTTCTACGTACACTAACTTGTTAATATAATTTACGGTGCCTACGATACAGGCAAAATATTTATCGTCCTCTTCGTACAATCCACTGCCTTTCAAGAACCTGCCCTTGTCCTTCTTACTCAGGATTTCTTCTCCTGGCAGAACAAGCTTCTTTATATTCGGGCATGCCCCATCTCCGCTGCGCTGTACATTTTCCCCCTTGTGCTTCAGCGTCTCGGTGGCCAGTATGCGGTTGTTAAACTCTTCGATGTCCTCCAGTTCTTCGTCATACGGAGTCGTCACGCGCACGTCCATTTTACCTCACCAGGTCGGGCAAAGCGAGCAAACAAGCAAACAAGCAAACGCGCTACTATACTAATTCGACCCGGGCGCAACAGCTTTACGTGACACCCTCCCCCAAAGTATAATTTTGCAGGGGGCAGGAAAAAGAGGAGGCCCCAGCAGAACAACGTTCACCTCGCTTTGTATGCCACTAACGTATAAGTATATAGTATCGTCTTTTCACTCTTCAATTTTTATCAGTGCGTGTCGTAAGCCCCTTTTTCTGTGGGCCATATTTAGCCCGCTTCTTGCGCATCTTCGTTAAAACGTGGCTGCGTATGCCGCATGGCAACCTCCCTCAACTTTGTGCAAATTTGTTTCGTGCATCTGTTTTGTGTACCTTTTTGCTTGCGTATTTGCTTATTCGTATGTTTATATATTTGTTTATTTTTTACTGTTCTTTTTTTTTTTTTTTTTTTTTTTTTTTTTTTTTTTTTTTTTTTTTTTTTTTTTTTTTTTTTCGTACACCCAGCAGTGGTGTATCGGGTTTGTCACCCGAGGGAGCAGGCCTACAATTTTCTGAAGAGAGTCGCATTAGTGCGGTTCGTTCCGCTGGGGCGTACCTTACGACTTCGCTACGGGAGAACAGCACTGCAGGATTGGGGGTCTCAAGCCGTCGTAGAGAACTGGTCCCGTTTTGTAGTATCACTAGGATTATTATTATTTTTTTTTCTCATTGCACCTCTGCACAAAGCAGTTCAAGTTGCACCCCAAGCAAATGCACGTATAATAACCATTTACACAAAGAAGCCGCCCATTTTTTCGTTCACTAGGAGACACCACACTACGATGCTGCATCGACACGAATAATTGCCAGCCCCCCCAATCGGGCTGCACCTTTGGGGGAAAGTATATTTCCGCGGGTAGATCGTCTATTTAAATCGTGTCGCCCTTCGTCTTTAGGTTATATACATATATTTTGGGTCTCCTTGAACATGACACAAAAGGAACAAGGATATTGTTTTATCATCATTTTTGTGCACAGCATGGAGTCAAATTGGCCCCCCTCTTTTGGCCCCTCTAAAAGTTGTCATCAAATTTAGTTGAACTGTGTGTGTTTGAGTGCCTTCTTTTTCTCAGAGGGAAACATACGTGTGCCGCGTTCGTATGCAACCGTTGGGGGAATAAGTGAACGTTTTTACAACAATAAAGCAACCACGTCGCGGAGATAAAACATGATTTATACTTTGAAGTTGCCACAACGTGGATGGCCATTTAGGCCGGTTCTTCCTGATATATAATTTAAACAGCATTCAACTGTGCACAGCAGAGGACGAAAAAAAAAAAAAAAAAAAAAAAGAGGGATACGTCAAAAATGACGGAGTATTAAAAACGTGTGTGCATGATCGCGCGTATCAGCAGTGCTGCGTCCAACAGGCAGCTTGTCTCACCGCAGAGTGACCGATAAGAGAAATTAAAACTAAAGATAACATGTTACGAAGTGTGAAGTGTCCCCCACTTTTCAAATAGACGGTTTATATACATCGCACTTGACGGTGGTACACGTTGGAACAGTCGCGTATGTAGCGCTGTCCTGTTCGGACCAGTTGCCATTTTTAGCTGACCCGTTCAGGCGATTTGGAATTACAGCTAGCCCGTCTAGGTCATTTGACATTACAGCTAGCTCGTCCAGTCAAAAGCGCATTAAGCGCATCGGAGGTTACAGTACCCCCCTTTCAATTTCTTGACTCGCTGCACGTAGTGTATACGGACGAATGTGATGTAATGTATCTTGTGAGTTCCCCAACAAAAGTACTCAAATGTTCTGCTGAATATTTTTTTTTTTTTTCTGCACAAAAAATAATGCCTGCAAGGACAGGCAAATAGCCAAATTGTAAAAAAAAAAAAAAAAAAAAAAAAAATTGAAACATTTTCCCCCACATATAGCAACATATTGCTTAAACGTTTAAAAAAAAAAAAAAAAAAGAGACCTCGTAGCAGCTACATTTCCCCCCCCTCATTTTAATGCAAAAACTTCACAATTGCATTTTTTAGAGCAACTATAGAAAAACTTGTGCAAAATAATATTTTTTTTAAGTTTCCATTTTAATTTGGCCCCCTTTTGATTGGCTGGTAAACATTGGTGTTACCCCTTCATGTGCAACTTATGCATGCTTTCGCCTGCTTCCACTTGAACACCTCTTCTGTTTACACAACATGTACAAATAGGATGCTCTTATTCCGTACTTCCCCTTTTAAACAAACGTGAGGTGAGCACAGAAATTAACCCAAGCACCCAACCTTGTCAGTGGTCGTGCGTACGTAGCAGTACATTGCTGTGAGCGATGTGGTATGCATAGCTGATCAAGCGATAGGACCACAAGTCCATGTGTAATTTTAAGCACACATGTACGTGTTCCTACTTCCATGCGACTGACTTCCATTACAAGTACAAGGGATATTTGCCGAGTACGTATTTGCCTCCCCATGTGCAATACACACACACACACAAGGCAGCAACGCACTTACAACGTCTGTTCTCATACTTTATCTGTCACGTAAAGTATGCACAAAATTGGGAGGTAGCCATATCTTTAATCCGTGAGGCTTTTGCTTACTTCTATGCGTCCATACCCGATTTTTTCTCCAATTGGCATTGTTTTTACTCAAAGAGTAATGTGGCGCCCGCCTTTAATCTGAAAACGATGAGCAAAAGATATAAAAAATGAAAAGGACGCAAAACTGTATAGGAAGGAAAAAGCAGAGCAAAGCGGAACCAGGGGAAGTAACTCGAGACAGAGCTGAATAAGTATCTACTCGAAAGGGCACACACAAGCTTCCACGTAGGCATCCGTGTAGGAAAAACCCATTTGGGAACCATATAAAACAGTACACTTCTGCGAATGTATCTTTTTTTTTTTGTTTTTTTTTTTTCTTTACCATTTGACCTAAGTTGCATATGAATAAGCCATACGATAAAACAGTGAAAGACTACACTATTTATGTATACGGAAAGATACATGATTTAGTGGAAGAGCTAAATAGGTATCATCAAAAATGTTACATTAATAATGAGAAGAATGTAGATTTGTGCAAGGAGTTTAAGTACAAGAAAAGGAAAAGGGTTCGGTTCCTTTCGGTGCTGGATTATTATGCAAACGTTAGGAACAAGAAATGGGAATTCGACGTCATTCCAATCGTATTTAACGAGGAGTATGAGATTTTGCATATAGGTGTTTCTATGCTTTTCAGCGATAATTTTTCTGAGGAGTACAAAAGGGGTAGGTACAACTACATCGAGCTCTTTATTTGTAATTTCGAAAAGGACAATGTGAATGAATGCCAGAGTGAGTGGACACCAGCGTTGCCTCTCAGAAATGGACATAACACTGGAGATATTTTGGATTGTCTTGTTAAGGTGGAGGACTTGAAGAGAATATACAGGGAGGGAGAGAGCCTCCGTAAAATAAGCGAAGAAATTGCTAGACCGTCAAATACCAGTGAAAGCAATGACGAGGATGATGATGCAGGAGGACATGTGATGGCCTCCATGCATGATAGTTACCAGTTGGAGAAAAAGGTCAGGAAGAAGGAAACGAGTTTCTCTTTGGGGGAGGATTTCTCCAGCAAAGATGAACAATACCCACTATACAGCATTGGGAATGACTCCATCGGGGAGGCTAAAGCAAATTTGAGTATGGGCGGTGATGAGGAGGCAGATGAGCACCTATTACTTGCTCGAAATGTAAAGGTTACTCAAGACAATGACATGTGCACGCGTAGGAGCAACCGCAGCTGCGATAGTGGTAGCAGCGCGCGGAACAGGTTCATCTCTAGCAGCAACGACAAGGAGGGATTTGCTCCTGGGTATTATTATAAAAAGGATGAGGAGAATAAATGGAAGAGTGAAAGTAGCAACAGGGAAGAGTTTTCTACAGATGGGAGGGGAGGAGTGACAAATACGAAGGTAGGAAAAGATCGTGATGGTGTCTGCCCCTTCTCATATCTCGGAAGTGGTGTGGACTTCCACAAAAGAGAGACGGAACAAACGACAGATGATGCTGATAAAGCAGGCATTCAAAAAGTGGAGTACTACAGAAATGTGAAAAGGGTAAATGAAATGGAGGAGAAGACGTACATTTCGTCAGCAGGAGGGTCCACAAAGAAAGTGATAAATTATGAGTACCTGTACAGTAGGAGCGAGAGCGAAACAATGTACTTGGATGTCCCGAGGGGGAAGAAGCATCCGTCCACCAACGAGGGAGACTTCTCACAGGGGGATGTGAACAAATTGGACGCAGCGCAGGAGAGGCCCTTCGCCAACAGTTGCAGCGTGAGGAGTGGTTACACAAAAAGCATGCATACAACCGTGGAGCGAAGTGAGATATTATTGGAGGGGAGTCCAGCGGAAGTGGGTAACCACATTGGAAAGGCTAATCACTCGGGGGTAGCCTCACCACCGGAGGAAAGATCCCCCCATGGAGACTTCACACGTTTCACAAAGCATGAGCAAACTACGCGTTTTAATCATAATGAGATAATACAGAGTAGCGACAGGGTGTACAGTGTCGAGAGTGAGGAATACCGGAGGGACACGTATACCACGACGGAGGGCAAGAGCAACCAGAATATTGTGACTGACTTCAGTGCACAGGAAAGCAAGGTTAGTGAAGCTGATAAACGGAACGAGTTTAAGCTAGGCTTCTTCAGCTCCAAGGGAAACAGAACGTACAACGAAGATAGAGTAATTACCATTAGGGACGTGAATGAGTTTGTGCAAAAGGAGTATAAGGAGGTGATTGAGGAGAGGGGAAATTTGCTGAGTGAGTCCCTAGAGAGGGAGTATTACGACATGCTGCAGAAGACGCAGAGTGTGGACAGATCGTTCAGATATTCCTCCGTCGAATCGGCAGGGGATGGAGTAGAGGAGGGGGCTGGGACCCCTTCTGCCGGGGTAAGTTCTTCCGGGTCGACCCCCCCGCCTTACATGTACTGCGCCATCTACGACGGACATAATGGTGAGAAGGCGGTAAACATAATTCAAAAGTTGCTTCATCTCCACGTGCACACCTACTACATAAATGGAAATGGGATGTCAAACTCGTTAAAGTATGCCTTTCACAAAATGGACGAGCACTTGTGTAGAAAGACAATAAATAATGAAGAGGATAACCACTCGAACTTTTCCAGCGGCAGCACAGCCTGCGTCAGTATCATATTTGATCACATGATGTATATTGCAAACATAGGGGATAGTAGATGTGTGTTGAGTAAAAATGGAAGGGCAGTTGTGGTAACCGTGGATCATCGAGCTGGAGGAAATAAAAAGGAAGAGGAGAGGATAATAACCTCTGGAGGGGTGTTAGACGACGAAGGGTATTTAGGTGGCTGTTTAGGAGTATGTAGGGGGTTTGGCTCGTTTGACAAAAAGACTAAAGAAAAATTAAAAGGTCTTGTTTGTGAACCGGACCTATTTCAAATAAAGCTAACGGAGGACGATGAGTTCCTGATTATATGCTGCGACGGGATTTTTGATGTTATGACTTCGCAGGAGGCGGTGAACACTGTGAGGGCTTCCCTGGTGGAGAGCTCTGACCCTACTGTAGCGGCGGAGGCCCTGTGCCAGTTGGCTTACAAAAGGAAGGCCCTGGATAACCTCTCCGTGGTCGTTGTGATTTTTCAGAGCCCCGAGATGAAGAAGAAGGCGCAGTCCAGCGAAAGCACCAATCGGTACGCAGGGCAAGCGGGCCGTGTCCGCAGGAGGTACGTCCAGAGGGCAAAAACAGGAGCGATGCAAAGAGCATGGCTGAGTTGTGCGCGGTGGCGCGCCTGTATGTACACTCTCGTATCTGTGTACGCCCTATACACGTGCACCACATAATCCCTATTGCCTTTTTCTCCCTTCCACCTGCAGAATAAGGTTTTCCTCTCTGAAGAATTTGATAGGCCCGTGAAGGGGGTGGAGCGATGCACCCGAGGAGGTAGTAACTAAATGCGGCAGGTGGTCCCCACATCGGAACCATAAACCGCTACCGTGACTGCATGGGTGGAAACTCCCATTGGGGGAAAAGGACAAAGTAGAAGGGGTGTGTTTGTATGTGTGTGCGTTCGTTCCCTTTCCCCTGCAATAGGGCAGGCCTGGCTCACCGCCGCGTATGCTTGGCACACCTCTCAGCACAGCATATGTCTGTTTTTTTTTTTTTTTTTTTTTTTTTTTTTTTGTATCATTTCATGGATGACAGTATGTTCACGTCCCCATGTTATGTGCCCCGTGTGGAGCCACTCGCAGATATATGTCAAGCGGGAAGGGGACCATCTAAAGTGATTTATTATGGTACGCCCTGTGCCTGATTGCAACCCTGAGCGACTGTGCAAATGAGCATGGACGTAAACTACGAACATGTGAACGTCCGAACCTGCGCACCTCTACATACCGCAACATCATCCGACTATTAACTGACTGTAGCGTTAACCAACGATCGGACTCGTCCATTGCCGCGTCACTTTTTTACTTGCGCTGGTTGGGTCAGTTGCAGTGGAAGCATTGGATGAATTTTACATTTTTGGTGAAAGTGCTCTTTAGAGAGATGAAGAGTGACGGTAGCTGCCAGGCGAAATTGACACCAGTGGAAGGAAATCAAACGGGGAAGAACAGGTCGTCCTCCGGGGAAGATACGCAACAGGGGAAGAGTATACCTTTCCGCAAAGCACTGCTTCAACGATCTAAGGCTGAATGGGCAAGCCCTATTTAAGAAGCATAAAAAAGGGGAGGGGGTTCTATGGAGTATATGAGGGAAGGTCACAACTTGGGTAGGATCCAAGAGTTAAAATGCCAATGCGGGGTTGCGGGGTTGCGTGCTTGCTTTAGTAAAAGTGGCTACGGTTACAGGGGCTTTTTGTTGTTTTTGTTTTGTTTTTTTTTGTTTTACAGAGTTGTTTGTTGCCCCTTATGTGCGCTAATGGCGCCTGAAGTGGCATATGGAGAATTATTTATGCATTAAGATCCATTAGCTCAGTGGTTAGAGCGTCGGTCTTATGTACCGAAGGTCGTGGGTTCGAAACCCACATGGATCAGCCGAATTTTACCCTATTTAAAGAACTATATTTTAAAAGGGAAAATTTAAACGTTGTTGAAATTATATGTATTTTAAGGATTAACGTAATTTTATTATTTTTTAATCTCGTTGGGTATTCTAATTTTATTATTATTTTGTTGTATTTTCCTCCTTGCATAAGGAAATACTATGCACAAATAATCAATATGTTTTTATCCTCTTGTGGCAGGACTTCATTAAAGGGGGGAGGGAACATGATATTTCCCTTCTCTTAAGTTAAAAACAGTACGTTTCATCGGGTTAGCGCTTCTTCTATGCTTTCCCAGTGGTGCCGTTATGCACGCGCAAGTTCGTTCGTGCTTATAGCAAGAACAAAAAAACAGTTCGGACAGTTATACAGTAATGACAGTAGGGGGGCAATTAGGAAGAAAAAAAAACAGACCAAATACGTATATTATTTTTTTTTCTTTTCCTCATAGGAAATAATACCGCTATTTTATTACTTTGCGTTCTCAAACAAACGGCAACTCTTTCTCGTTTTTTTTTTTTTTTTTTTGGCGCAACAGAAACAAAAAATAAATTCGACAGCGGCAGGATTCGAACCTGCGCAGGCAGAGCCTATCAGATTTCTAGTCTGACTCCTTAACCACTCGGACACACTGTCTTACCTGCATATACCTTCGTTCCTATTTAATATGCCTCCTTCATTTTAGTATAAAAACTTTCTGCATTATCGAGATCAGTTTTTGCTCATTGGTACATAAAAGCATACATTAACTCATAACAAACGGGACTCTTTTAAAAAAAAATACGAGCAACGTCGATTGGTACGGAAGCCGCGTTACGTTTGTTTTCTCATATGAAGGGGTAATTTTTTTTTATGCTTGGGGATTCCCCTTGAAATGTTTTTTTCCTCCTCACTGCGATCACAACAGGGGGATATATAGGACGCATATGAATTTTCAGATAATGAAGCGAATCATCTACATGAATGAACTTTTTTAATTGACGCAACTATCCTGCGTAGCATATTTTTTTTTTGTTCTCATTTTGTAAATGTAGCCATGTGAGGCTAGGTAATCCCCTCGTTCGGTACAGTGCTACAATTCCTTTGCTGTCATCTTGTGGGATATGAAAGAAGGCAACTCAGCCGCTTAGCCACTTCGCTGATTCACCATCTAAGAGAACAGGCATTGCGATGAGCGGATGCGAACAAAGGTATATTCCATTTACAAGCACCGGTTGCTGTTTTTGTTTTTTGTCTTGCGAATCATAGACAGATGCGTTTCATATTTTACGTCAGTGCACTTGCGCGCATGTGTAGTGCTAGGGGGTAACATACGTTCTGTGGTGGACACTCACCAGCGACTAGAACAAAGGCACATTGCATAACACATGTACCATGCAGTACGATATGCTGTGCAATGTGTTATTGTCATACCCTCGAGCGGCGGGAGTCTCAGGTAAAGGAACATGGGTCCCCCCTTTTTGTCTTCTTCTCTGAGGGGCGAACAAGAACAGTTTCACTGCATATCAAGATTGGGTATCCTCCTTTAAAGCGCATTTGGGAGGATGATGGCACGCGTCATTTAAATGACCACATTAGCAATGCAGTTATAACACTGCGGATGGTAATGTATGTCACTAAGTAGCGCTCAGCAGGGTCTACTTATATTAAACCTACATTTGCCGTATGTATGTACATATATATATACCCCTAATACAAAATACATTTCTCCCATTTCAAGTGAAGATTCCACCTTCCCGATTTATTTCTTTTTGTACATGTATGTGTGGTCGCGTAAATACACATTTGTATTATGCGTCTGTAGCTGTTTTTTTTTTTTTTTTTTTTTAAATCAACGCGCGCTACTTTTAAAGGGTAAAAGAGGGGCAAGAAAAAAAAAAAAAAAAAACGTTATGTTCTCATTAAGCATGGGCCCATGAAGCACAAATCATGTGAAGGGAAGTTTCGAACATGTTTTTTTAATACACAAGAGGGGGACGAAAAATGTGATATCAAGTGTCGCTCTACCGGCTCATGCTACGTAAATGCGACGTTCCAATAGTACCCCGTCTTCCATTCATAAGTATGAAAATAATGAGGACCTCCTGGAACAGCCGCAGGGAGAGCAACATAAATTTGGTCCCACTGTTAAAATGACTTGTCTGCAAAATAAAACTCAGGTCTACTTTTCATTGGTCATGCATTATGAAGTTCCCATGTGGCGTCTTCAAAATAATTTTTTGTTTTTTTTTCGCTTTTCCTAACAGAAATAAAAAATGGATAGTGAAGAGGACGAGGGCGCGACGGAGGAAAGCATACCATTTGTGATTTTGGACCCGGGGTCTTGGTAAGCGCGAAAGGGGAAAACAAATCGATCAGTAGGCTGCGACAGATATGTAAGCGCCGAAAAGGTTTGATACCCCAAAAAAAAAAAAAAATAGCAGCAGCATAATATGTGCCCCATTTGAGTGGCCCCAGTACATAAAACAGAGCTAACCCGTTCGTCCCTCAAAACTGTGTCAACACGCCCACACCGATTTGTTCCTGTAGGACCATCAAAATGGGAGTCGTTACGGACGAAATGCCAACTCTGCAAATCCCTTGCTTATATGTAGAGTATGATTTGGTCAAGCGTCCTTTGTATGAGCAGGGTTATACACACACATAGGTATATTTTTATTTTATTTTTTCTTCTCTTTGCAGGAAAGTTTTTTCCAATTCGAGGGAGGTGAAAGTAGGGACAGAGGCAGTTATCCGATAATGGGTCCACGTCGTGCAGCCTGCAAATATGGAAGCGTGACATGTACCATTTGGATCCACGCGAGCAAATATGTGGGCATGCACATTGTCCTAATAAGAGGTGTACATGTTCACACACGCATGGAATGGGCCCGCTCCACCACACAGTTCGGACATGAGGCAGTCGAAGAATACACCCGAGCTAAATACGAAACAGCCAAACTGGAAGGCGAGGAAGGTGCTAACCCCAATGAAATCACTACTACGTGGACATGAGGAAAAAAAAAAAAACAAAAAAAAAGAGAAAAAGATTGACCGATTTCCAATAAACGAATGGACATGCGCCTATATATAGACCTAACCATTTGTAGTCCATCTTCGACACCTCTGCACACGTTCCCCCCGAATTGAACTCCCTATTCAGGCGACGAGCTGCTAAATGTGAAAATGAAGTTTTGCGACCCTCGCCATCCCCTCAGCTCGAACGACTTCACAGATTTGTTCGAAGTGTACAACTACCTGGTGAAGGTAACGGAAAAGGGGGGGCGCGCACCAAGGAAACACATGCACATGGACACACTCATATGTATGTGATATCTCTGTGGGAATTCCCCCCCACACACAAACCGAGTCGCCCGCACAATTTTAATCCCTTTCCTTCCCCTTTCTCGTCCTACAAAAATAGAGACTAAGCATAAAAACAGACGACTACAACTTACTCGTCACCATTCCCGAAAAAGTGGAAAAGTTGTTCATAATTAACATGCTGAATTGGGCATTCAGAACTCATCAATTCGCATCGATATCCTTTATTTACAACTCTCTTGCGGCATCCTACTACTATGGACTGAACACAGGTTCGCAAAAAAGAGGGGAAAGCTGAATTGTCGTTTATTTGCTTTTTTAGGAGTGCTACGACTTGATGACAACTAATTCCATTGACATTCGCACATCGGATGGTCATCTGCTCAACTGGACTCTTCTTTCTTTTCACCTCCCCCATCCGCGAAGCACTCGTTGTCGACTTAGGCGAGACCGCAAGCAGAGTATCCCCCGTCGCGGAAAATCATGGGGTTTTCCTGGACAGCGCGAAGAACTGTGAAATAGGGGGCCACCTAATAACTAAATACATTTCCAATTTTGTCAAAGTAAAGGACAGGAACGTTGACTACACCCTTGTGCAAAATTATAAAGAGTTAAAAGGTTACATAAGTCTAGACATTGACCGGAGTATAAAAATGAACAGCGATTGTAATGGCTTGTTGAAGCCTTATAGAATTCCATACAGTAATATTTACATAGACCCCAAGGCTGAAATGTTAAGCCATGAAATTTATTTTCAGCCTGATTTTTTAGCGCACTTACCTGGATATTATTACAAGCAAAACGTAGTGCCATTAAGTCAGCTAATTTTCGAGTGTGTATGTTCCTGTCCAATGGATTTACGAAAACAATTACTCAACAACATTGTCCTCGTTGGCGGTGTATCAGATTGTGTCAACATGCACGAACGGTTACATAAAGAGTTGGTCAATATTTTGCGGCTTAAAAATTACAGTGAAAATACAAAAGTGCACGTAAGAAATGAATGCATGTCTAAAATAGCAGCTTACCTAGGATGCAGACAGTACGGGAAAGCCATTTACCACAATAAAAATAAATGGGTTACAAGGGAGGATTACTTAACGACGGCTAACGCGAAGGTGGTACATAGGCTTTTGATGTGGGCTAACGTTTTGTAGAGGCGTTCGAAGTGCCCGCCCGCACTTGGGGGAGGTGGAGACATGGGAGGCGCCATACACGCATTTTGTTAAAATGGTGTCACTGCTTTTTTTGGCGTTGTTCTATGCTATAATTTTTTTTTTTTTTTCATATGGCTAGCTTGTTCAGGTAAAAAGTTACATTTTTTTTGTTTTTTTCTCCAAATGGCTACCCTTTGTTCAGGCACAAATTGTTTTTTTTTTTTCCAGCTAGCTAAAAGCATAACACAATTGGCAAAATTGAATGGCAGTTTTGCGCAAAAACTGACCGTGAAATTTGCATCTTTACAATTTTCTTTTTTTTTTGTGGTTGTTTTTCAAAATGCTTGCACATGACGAGAATGCCATGTGAAGGTAAAGGCTTTATTCAACACAACACGATAAATTGCGGTGCATACGGGGGGGTTACATATATATAAATGTATATATATATGCATGTGTATACATTTCACATATGGGTACGTGAACGGGGTGGGGCCAAACATGCATGCACATTTGTTATGCACACAAGCAGCGCACAAAAAAAAAAAAAAAAAAAAAAAAAAATTATATCCCCAGTTGTGCACACGTCCCTCGGATGACAACTCGCAAGCCCACGCAGAATCATAAAAAGAAGATGGAGTCACTCTTGTAAAATTTGTTCAAACCGTTCGTCTTCACATTCAAATCCAAGTTGTATTTTTTCATGACGTCAATATAGGACTTGTATCTGCTGTAGTCCTGGTTGCTTTCTTTTTTTTTCAAAACATCAAGCTTTTCACATTTGGACGTGGTTCTATTTTGAAGTGGCAATTTCTGCTTAAAAATGTAAGCAATTTTTCTGTTGATAGCTTCTGACCCATCCGGAAGAACTAAATTGTTGTACTCATTTAGCTCAGGTTTTGTGTATCCGAACTCTTCCAGGACTTCATATATGGTGTCATAGTTTATATTTTTGCTCAGTTCTTCCTCCTTCACTTTGTAGTCCTCGCTACTGTTATCGCTTTCGTTTTTGTATTCATTATCGAGTTGGGCTTGGGCTTCCTCCGCGTTGGATGGACGTACATTTGAACGGTCTTCCCGCTGTTTCTGCTTGGCCTCCTCTTCCCCATCTTTCTCCGCGCTGCGGTGACTCTTGGAGTCTATTTGGTTGTTTCTCTTCTTGTGGAGCATACACAGAAGCAACTCTTTGTCCTCCTTATTAGTAATGTATCTATTTAACAGATCAACGTACGACTTTGAGAAATCGTAATATTTTTGAATAAAAATAAAAAAATCTGCATGTAGTTTGGTGTGACTCTTGCAGATCATATGCGACTGTAACGATTTGACACACTTGGAATGGCGAAAGCAGTAGATGCAAATGTTCTCTTCGTAAATTTTCTTCCCTATGGTTAGAAGAATTTTTTTCAAATTGGTAACGTACTTTATATCAGGGATATAAAAAGTATAATTATCATTCATGTGTTTTATATTTTCTTCTATTGAATTAAAAATTCTGTTGTCAAAGAAGCATACCAAGGGGTTGTCATATTTTACATGTTTGTTCATTAAAACATCTTCCTTCGTTGCGTATTTAATTTTTTGCGTTTCGCAATTGTTGCTCGTGTAACTGCTTCCGTTATTATTGGCCTTTTTGCCGCTGCACAGTTCTGCTTGGTTTTTTTTCTCCTTTTTTTTCTTCCCGTTGCTGTGCTTCTTGTGCGCGCAGTGGTTGCTGCTAGCGGGGTCTCCACTAACGGGGTCGTTTCCGGTACCGTTGGCGCTAATCCCCCCTTTGGTCAAGCTGTGCACCTTCTCATTAAAGGTCACTTCGTTGACTGCAGTCAAATTCAGAAGCTTCCTCTTCAAATTATATTTGTGCCACTCGGACTTAAAGTGGTACCGAAAGAACGAGTAGTTATATATCTGTATATTGCATGTATAACAGTTGTAAGTTTTTTTATTCAAGTCACTGTTCTCAATGTAAATATTTACTTGGTCCTTATGATACATGTTAATCGTGGAGTTGCTATTTTTGTTGATGTATTCCTGCACAATTACATCTTCCTTTTTCATATTGTAAATGTTTTTTATGTCCATTGGCTGTTTGTGCCCTGCCGGATTGTCTTCCATGTAGACTACTTTGGGCTCAGCGTCTTCCATTTTGGCTCTTTGGCAATGGAGATGGATAGCATATGTGTGTAGTGCAATCGTTTTTTGTATATAGCACTGGTATGGTTAGCAGAGGTGTATTAACTCCTCCCGTGCATAGTTTTGTGCATATGTGGATGGTGTATGTTTGGGTTTTTCTCCCTCTGAACTTGTTCGCGTTGAGTTCACTGGGTTAAAAAGTATTCCTGTGCGCTGTTCCGTATACGCTGTCCCCTGTGCCGCGTGTCTTTCGCGTGGACTAAATGTTTCTTTCCTGACACGCAAGTTTGTGCGCGTACAAGTTGCTTTCCCTGTTAAGCTATATTTTGGTTTGCCCTTTGCACTTGTCTTCTTCGCGACGATATGCATACGCAGGGGTCTGGCAGGGGGCGCGCGATGCAATGCGATTCGCGCAGTAGTGACGTACGATCAGAAAGACTCCTATGAGTGCACCACTGTTTCACATACAGATGCTCCCGCTCGAAGATGATCACGCTTCACACAAAGTCAGCTGCGCTAACTCTGAAAAAAAAAAAAAACTGCCCCTCAGTGCGTCTTCACAAAAGTACAGGTTATTCCTCCCATCACCATGTCGGATGCTCCCCACAGTGAACAATTCTATTTGGTGATGAAAATGCGTCGCTCCGTTTTTTTAAAAAAAGAAAAAATGTATTCTTTGAAAACGGAATGATATTAAAACACGTATAAACAATTCATTAAATCATTATATTGCAAAAGCTGTTTTTCTCTTTACAGGAGACAGGGATGCAGGGGCAGGTGAAGAAGTGAAGCAAATGAGGGGGGGTGGAAATGAAACTGCGCCAACAGAAAGCGAAGTCATGCAATGATAATATATTAGTGGACGCCCAAGTGTAAAGGAGATTTTAAAAAAAATAAAATACTTTTTAAAAGGGGCGAGTACTCAGCTAGTGCCATCCTACAGGATAAAAGTGGCACGGCATACGAAAAAGGCGATTTTAAAAAAAAAAAAAAAAAAAAAAAAAAAGGAATGGCCCAACTTGCCCGCAATTATAAAAAAAAAGAAAAAAATATATACATATATATACATATATATACATATCATGACTCCACTGTGTTGTTTTTATTCTTTCTTCGGGGGGAGGGCCAAATCACCGCTCCAACATGAAACATAAAGAAAGCGTACATCTACGCGGCAAAATGGTTATGGCGCGATTGCACTTTCGTCGACGGCGCGAAAGGTAAGGAATACGCCTTCCCCGCCAGTATTTGCTGTGCTGTGCTTCCCTCGCATATGGCTCCTTCCGGCGCCTATGCTGTGTCGAATTTTTTTATTTTCATTTTTTCATGCACAAAAAAAACTGTTATCCATTTTTGTTAGTGTATTATTGGTATGCATGGAGTAAAAAGGAAAAATTAAACGGACATATGGCCATTATTCGTTCGAAGGGCTTTTGGTCATATATGCAATTATACTCGCGCGTAAAAAGGAATTTATAAAATTTTCTGTGCGACATTGCACATGAGCAAAAAAAAAAAAAAAAAAAAAAAAAAAACGCGTAAGTTTCTCACTTTTTCATTATTTGATGCCTTGTGACAAACAAAATTAACGTGAACAAAAACGCAATGTGATTTACAAAATGTACTTGTGCGGATGTACCTTTTTATGAAAGCATGACCCAACGTTTGAACTGCTTTATTTTTTGTTGCCGCATGAGGGCAAAAAGAACACCCCCCTGATGAATACAGTGAAGACCAAATTGTGTTTGCCTCCAAATAAAAGGGCACAAGTGCTGCATACGTGATGGCAGGCGGGGGGACACATAGACGCATGACACATGACTCCACATGAATGTCTGAATGTGTACCTATACAACAGACGCGTGGCTGGCCTGTGTGCTGTTCGCTTTTTTGGTCTCACCTTTTGTGGTGATTCGCCTTTTTGTCCTGCCCCATTTGACCATTCGAAAGGGCATCATAACACCGCCAGCAGGTGAGGGTCGATCAGTGGGTCAAATACTTGCAACATAAATTTTGAAAAGGGTAAAAAAATAAAGCTAAGCAAAAAGTGTATATGTTCGTTGGACGGACAAAATGAGGAGATAAAATTCATCTCATGCAAACGCTGCCACAGAGGTGGACACACAATTTTTTAATCGCTTATACACGCGCGTGGGTACAAAGACCAAAAAAATAAATGACACGTAATTGAAGAAATATCAACCAATGTCATCTTCATAGCGAAAACTCTTTTGTCGATTGTTTTTCACCTCCGATCTGCGTTTCTTATAATTGATGGACTCCCTCTTTTCCTTATCCGTCGGTTTTAATATTCTTCGCTTTTCCTTCTGTAGGTGTGGTTTTTGCAAAAAAAAAAATAAAAAAAAATTGTGTGCTTGGTTTGCCATGCCATCACGTACGAGTGGGGTGAACAAACGTCAAACAGTAGTCGGGCATGTAGACCATTCACACACTTGTGCGACCATGTTAAATGCTCGAGGAAAAGGAACGTGTGTGACAAGACTTACTTCAATTTCGTGTGTAATAGCATCCTCCAGGTTGTCCCTGATGGAAGTAATTTTATCGTACAAGAGCTCACGTGCGTATATTCTGTTCTTTTGTAAACATCTGCGTACCGGTGGAGGTGGACACAATGGAAAAAAAAAAAAAAAAAAAAAAAAAAACGTAAATGTATAAATATATAGATATATACACGTACTTATTCGTGATAAACAACGGAGGCGTAAAAAGAGTTGGGAGCAAATGGCTAAGACGGAAGATACAGCGCAACCTGTCTCGCAAATTTCAAAGGCGAATTATCAAAATTGCTTTTGTTCATTTTTCCTCCTCTTTCCTTATACCCGTGCTCCGTCCTAACCTGTACTTGTGGCATTTGATTATTATTTTTTCACCCTCCCCGCTGTCATATTTTATCATGACGCAGTTATTCGTTTTGTTAACCTTCTGCCCTCCTTTTCCCGTGCCCTTGACGAAAGTTTCTTCAATGTCCTTGGGGAAAACTCCTATGCTTTCTAACTTTTTTCTTATCAATTCGAATTTGTTCTGGGATGGCTTGTTCAGGTGGAGGCACAGTCGGCTTGTGGATTTAGTGTACTGTGCGAATTTCTGCTGAGCCAAAATGAAGCTTGGGTACTGAAAAGGGGTGGAGAAGGAAATGGGATGAATGGGCAAAGGCACATACGTTATTCGTGTTAACCATCTTGTTGGTCGTACGACCCCAGGAAGGCCCTTTCCATTCGTGCAATTCAGTTGGCGTATACCTTCACAAGTTTTTCTTGCCACTGTATACTGCTGACGCGGGTAAGAAAGCTTAAAAGGAGCAGGAGTAGGGTGTGACTGCGCGGCATTATACATTATTACCGCCGCGAGCCTTCGGTGCGCTCGCCTTTAGGAGGGACATCACTACAAAATGGGAAAAGAGCCACTTTAGCGGAGATCACTCTCAGTTATTTGTAAACGTGGGGAAAAATTTTTTTTCGAGGTGTGCTTGAGCATCTTCCCTACGACGTGTTACTTTGCTCTTACTCGAATTCGTGGCGTTCCCTTTTTGTTGTGCGCACCTAGTTGACGGACCCGTCGTGGGATGCCTTATGCACTTCGGGTTCACGCATCCGGGGTGTTTCTCAAGGAACCCTTGAGTGGAGGCGGCAACATGATACTTGTCCAAGGGCAGCAAAGCGGGGTGTATTTGTACTGCCGCACCCATCCACCTTCACTCCCCTCTTGACCGACCCCGCATGAAAGCACACCCGAGGTCGCAAAGAACAAATGGAAGTCTACCCCAGGTGGTTTGCCTACCCCTCAGTGAGTTTCCACTCGCAAGGAAAATATTTTTTTTGAAGAAAAACCGGTTGTGTAATATGTAACAATTTTAAAGAGGAAAAATTGATCAAAAGGAAGGTATATGAAAAGCCCTTTTATTTTTCACTGCACTCTTAAAAAAGGCGACATAATTTTCCCCGTCATTCTCCTTTCCCATACAAACGTATATGTGTGTCATGAGGAACGGGCGTACACAGCAGGTGCGGGGAGTTTTATTCATGTGTTTTTATAAAAAAAGAAAACAAAAAAAAAGTTACCACCTCAATAGTGACACAGTCGAGAAAGTGGAAAGACTACGTTCAGAAATTCCAAATGGGGTGAAGAAAAAAAGAACCATTGAGCAGAAGGAAGCCCGTCCCAAGCAGGAACAGGAGCACTTTTGATTAAATTTTTTTGTGATTATATGACCAAGTAGGAGGAAGGCATGTTTTTTTTTTTTTTTTGGGGTGCGCATTTATTTGCTAAGGAATATCCTCATTCATGGAGAGTAGTGTATGCCTCTGCCACTTGTTTTTTTTTTTTTTTTTTTTTTTTTTTTTTTTTTT